TCTCGGTGGTCCCGGGTTGGGCGCCAGCGGGGATCCCCGGGCGCTCGCGGGCTCCTGGAGCGGCGCGAACTCGGCTCCGGACCTCGCGCTCGGAGCGGTCGCGCCCACGCTTGGAGAGTGTGGAGCGGGCGCGCGCTCCGGGCGCTCTCGCCACCGCACCCCTCCGACCTCAGGCGAACCAACTTCTTCCACCTCCCCTCGCCGCGGGTGGCCAAAGCACGTTTCGGGGTGCCTAGCAGGAAAGGTGCAGTCTGGACCACACCCGCCAGATCTGGAGAACAGAGCGCCGGCTTCAAACTTGAAAAGCACCTTCTGTCCATAAATCACCGGCCTAAGGGTGCTAGATGCCCAAATATGGGGTTTGGGGCCAAGATTCGCCATCAAAGGAAAGAGTCCCCAAGCGCAGGTCAAATAAATGGCACCTGAGAAAGACTCTGGGACTTACCTGGAGCTTTGTAGATCCTGGCTGGTTTTCTAGGCAACTGATTGGAAATCCGAGGATTGCCAACGTATTTCCAGCACACACCAAGGAAGAGTATCACAGGATTTGGGATGTCTGAAAGGGAACACAGGCACCTCTCATACACTCACCTCTTCAGCCTTTCAGGCAATAAGCCCAGAAATAACTACGGGAGTACTGAGCTCTTTTGTCTGTGTGTGCCGGGCACTGTGCCACAAACCTTTTAGATACATAATCTCATTTCATTCCCTCGACAGCCCAACAAGGTCTGTATAACTGTTATCCCCGTTTTACCAGTGAGAAACTTGAGTCTCAGAAAAATATCACCTGCCCAAGTTCATATATGAGTAGGCAAAGTAATCTTGATTTTTAAATTTTTATTATTTTTCGCTTTTACATACTAGTGTCCAGGCTCTACTCTAAAACAATTAGAGTAAATCTCTACAACTGGCATTCTTAGCCATAAGGTTGCGATGTTCTAGGGACATCTTATAGCAAATTATGTGCAGAAAGGTAATTCAGGATGCCAAAGAATGCTCACCCAGCAGACAAGCTTTGAAATCCTGCTGTGAGTGGTGCTGGAGCCTGAAGGACTTTCTACTGCAGCAACTTTCAGCCCTTTCATCTCATGGCACACATAAACTAATTACTAAAATTCTGAAGCACACCAAAAAAATTTTATTTTTTTCCGATCTGACCAAAAAAAGGTATAATTTTGATTCATTCACACGGGACAGCTATTGTTGTGATGGTTTTTGTCATTTTTTTATTTGACAGTCTTAGGGAAAAGAGGTCAGTAAGCCTGACTGGTTAAAAATCCTTGCAGCACACGGTTTGAAAACTGCTGTTCTATTGGAATAGCAGGGACAATGCAGAGTTGTAGAGGTAAAGGTAACTCCAGAGAGTTGTAAAAAGGCAAGTAGGCTGTGTACCTAAGAAATTCGGGGGGAGGAGAAACTGCTGAGAGGGAGCCTGGGGAGGAGGTAGAGCAGAAACTAGTCCTTGAAAGGAGGGAAAGACATGTGAGGTGGAGGGGGAATCAGAGAAAGTGTGGTACTAGGTTTGGTGCAGTAATGGTGGGAAGGAGCCGTGTTCAAGCATGTAGAAGGCCAAAACTGATGTGACTAGGAAGAGGAACTGAAAACAGTAAGAAATTAGTGTGACAACATGGATGGGCCCAAAGGGTATTATGCTGAGTGAAATAAGTTAGACAGAGAAAGACAAATACCATATTTCACTTATATGTGGAATCTAAAAAACAAAAACAACAAATGAACAAATAAAACAAAACAAATAGACTCATAGATACAGAGAACAAACTGATGGTTACCAAAAGGGTGGGTGACGGGATGGGTGAAAAAGGCGACGGGGAATGAGAGGTACAAACTAAGTTATAAAATAAATAAGTGGTGGGGATATAACACACGTCTAGAGAACACGGTCAGTAATGTAGTAATACCTTTGAATGGTGACCGATGGTTACTAGACTTATCGCGGTGATCACATTGTAAGGCATATAAATCTATAATCACTGGGTCGTACACCTGAAACTAATATAATATTGTATGCCAACTATAATTTTTAAAATGAAGAAACAATTACTTTGATAAGTCAGGATGTGTCTGAACGTGTGGAAGTGGTATTCTGGGTCAGAATGGTGGTTGGCTAGGGTGTGGATAAAAAGGAACCCTGGTGCACTGTTGGTGGGAACAGAAATCGGTACAATGGAAAACAGAACGGAGTTCCCTTAAAAAACTGAAACTAGAACTACCATGTGATCCAGCTACCCTACTTCTTGGTATATATCTGAAGTGAAACCATTCCCTCAAAGAAATATCTGCGCCCCATTTCACTGCAGCATTATTCACAATAGCCTAAGCATGGAAACAACCTACATGTCCATTTACAGACCATAAAGAAAATGTGGTGTGTGTATGTACATATTATACATATACAGGGATAAAAAGAAGGAAATTCTGGTGTTTGCGACAACATGGATGAACATGGAGGGCATTATGCTAAGTGAAACAGTGAAAGAATCCAGGGAGAGAGAGAAAGAAACACTGTCCAGTATCATTTATATGTGCAATCTAAAACAAAAAACAAAAAAAAGGAATGTTGATCTCATAGAAACAGTGGCTGCCAGGGGCTGAGGGTGAGGGAAATGGAGAGATGTAGGCCAAAAGACACTTTAAATATTTAGTTTTGCCAATTATTCCTCAATAAAGCTGGAAAATGGAAAAGTAATATAAGGAATCCCATGAGTCTTTCACACTGCTCTTAGACCATATCCTCACTCCTGATCCCAAGACCCAGATTCAGTACTTCGGAAATGGTTTGCAATGCCTAATGGCAGAATGGTGTATTATTGTCATTTTGTTTGATTCAGTTCCTTGCCAGATAGTTGCCTTTAACAAATGAAAATAAGATTCAACAGGCATGACTTATTTTTCATGAGCCCATGCTGTCTCCCAGAGGTCAGCACGCCCGATAAGATAAAGGCAAATTTTGGATTGGTTAGTTCCACTTTGCCCATGTATCTGTTATAGTATCAAGTAGCAACTTGTTCTGAGATATTCAAAAGCTTTAGTCTTCCTTCCTGGGCTGTGTCAGTTTCTTCCAAGTTTTATTATTGTCAATTACAAAGTTGTAACTCCAATGTCTTTGACTTTAAAGAGCAGAGATTGATTAGCTTCAATATTTAAAAGATACCCCAATAAAAGAAGTCTACTGAAAGGAACAGAAGGCAGTGTTCCAGGTCAGAGGCCTGGCACTGCTCCACTGTCTCTTCTTAGAAGACACTCATGGTTCCACATTTGTTCATCTTTACAGAATGAGGCCAGAGGAGAGAGCAGAGGTCAGATTTCTGCTGATCGAGAAAAACCTGGACCTCAGGACCCTCCACCACCAAGAACTTTAAAACAAAAACAAAAAAATTTTGGTGTCCCTGGAGCTGCCTTTCAAAGCAGCCAATGTGCCTCTCCCGGGACGGGTCTGGGAAACTGCTGGGGTCACTCTGGCTGCTGTAAGAGAGAGGATGGTGAAGTCCAAAACCGGCTATACTGTGTCACTGTGGTTGTGGAATTGTGAAATATCCAAGTAGGTAAAGAAAGAGCTGCCAGAAGATTCCAAATAACCAACACCTT